TTTACAGTGATACATAAACTATGTAAACTAAAGTGTTAAAACTATGTTGTTATTGTTCTTCTTCAGAGATGCATTTTAACCCCCAACTTCAGCTTAAACTCGTACATTAAAGAAACAAAAACAAGTCATTTACAAGCATTTATCATGAGTATGTTTAGATTACAACAGTGTGGTACTTCAGTTATTAATATTCTACTGGTAGATTAACATGCTTCAGTTCTACAGCAATCAGAAACCATTACATTAACTATGTAAAACGAATCTTTGTTTATTTGACACATTTACAGTAATTTCAGCTGAGTCTACAGTGAACGCGCGTGGTGACGTCACGGCGCTTCGGTCAGCCGTTCGCAGAGATTATAAATCTTAATTTGTTTGGTAAAATAATTTCTCACCCTCATGTTTTTGTTCCTCTCATCTTATTTCGTTTCGTTTCTGTCGTCAGTTACCTCAAAAAAAATTGTTGATTGTTAATAACGCGAAATCAAGGACTTTTTTGACCGACAGTGACTCAAACCTAAAGTTAATCAAAGAATACAAAGCTCAACTCATGTGAATCTGACATCAAACTGAACATTAAGATCCCTTCAATTCAAATACACTGAAAAGTTTTAGTCAGATTGTGAATTTTGTTCCTCTCATCTTATTTCGTTTCGTTTCTGTCGTCAGTTACCTAAAAAAAATAGGTGATCGTTAATAACGCGAAATCAAGGACTTTTTGACCGACAGTGACTCAAACCTAAAGTTAATCAAAGAATACAAAGCTCAACTCATGTGAATCTGACAACAAACTGAACATTAAGATCCCTTCAATTCAAATACACTAAAAAGTTTTAGTCAGATTCTGAATTGTAAAACCAATCGACGAAAACCAATGTGACAAACCTATTTATGCTGTAATTCTAGTCGAACTTGAACGGAGAAGCTGCCTGTAACTCTGAACTTCTGTTTAAAACATCGTGTTTGTGTGTTTGTCTCATGTCATACTCACTCATGAATCAGTGCAGCAATCTTGTGTGTGTGTGTGTGTGTTCGTCTTTCCCGCCGGCTGGTGTAATGCGCGTCACCTGCGCCGCGCGCGCGCGTGATTCCTGCTGCGACAGTGACATCCAGCGGCCGGTTACAGTCATTACACGCAGAACAGGCTAAACCAGAGAAATCTAAATTTTACACACAGAAAGAAAAGCCAAAAAAATAAAATAAATAAATAATAATAATAAAATAAAGAAAGAAAAAAAAATTTGATCTGAGACAGGGAAAAATATGTGGTATAATTAAACGAGTTTACATCTCCCTTCCACAGATTATGTTTCATTAAACGATATTTTGTATTAATTCAAAATAAATGTAACATTTTCAAAAGTAAATTTTTTAATTACTTAAAATGCACTTTTCTTGAATCACACAATTTTGTCACACAACACTCCAATTACTGTTTTTATTTAAATAGTGAAAAAGTGTGTGTGCGTGTGTTTGTGTGTGTGTGTGTGTGTGAGAGAGAGAGAGAGAGAGAGAGAGAGAGAGAGAGAGAGAGAGAGAGAGAAAGAGTGTGTGTGTTTGTGTGTAAATACGTACTTCTGTGAAAAACAAGTTCAAAGAAAAAATATTTAGTACCTCACACAGAGTATAAACACAAACGAAACAGTTGTTTTTATTAATCAAACATCTCAGTATAGACCAAATTAATACAATTTTGTACAGACGTTTATAAATGACCACTCCCGGTGCTACAGTAATCAATATAAAGACTATCAATCATCCTGGATAAAGAAAAGGTTAACCAAAGTGAATTAAAATTATAATTATATTCTGTATATTCTGTCTTTCTCAGTGTGTGTTCCGCCCGCTAGAGGGGAGTGTCGCTCCACATGTAAACTTCTGAGGTCTAAAAATACTGCATCTCTCGACTTTAAAAACTGTATACAACATTATTAGTGATCAGGAAACATGCTGGAAAACAGGGCAGATGTTCCAATCACTGTGAGAATCCACTTTAAGAGGAAATCCTGTCATAGTTTATTTTCAGAAACGTTTACATATTCACGAGGGCATATTGTTTTCAAACCAACCATACAACCAAACTACAACTTTCAAATACAACCAAACATCATGTATTTATTTGTAATCGAACACGGCTCCATGTTGGCTAAACTACATAATCTGACAAATACAGGCACTAAACTCCCATTCATCAGACATTCATGACCAGATATACATAGACACAATAATAAAATGTCACATTTTAGAGTTAAAAAGAGGAATTCGTTACAGGATCATTATACATTTCTAGTGTTTTGTAGCAGATGCTGCCCCTGCTTGGAGTTTTTGCACTGTTTTTAAGAGGAATAGGTTAAAAAAAATGCTATGTAAAAAAAGCCTTGAAGTTGTTTTAGGGGCTTTAGAAAAACCCGTGTTATTAGCGATACCTGTGGCCGTTAATGGAACTGCAGCAGCACCTTCTGCTCGTGCCCGTGAACACGTGCCGTATGAGAGACTGAACCCTGACATACTTTCAAAGAACTTTTCGTTCTTCACTTAGAAGGAAAAAGAAGTTAGAAATAGCTTTGAGAGCGACGGTTAGATGAATATGTGCTTCCTCTCAATAACTAAATAAACACATGACAAAAATTATGTAAAACTGCAGTTCACTTTTTGTTCGCAAAAAAAAAACGACGATGAAAATGAATAGTTGAATAAAGTCGTTATTTTTCTTTTTACAAACAAAGGTTGACACACTGCAGTCACTTGGACTTTTTTTAACGATGTCTTTCTGGGCCTGCAAGTTTCAAGTACACAGAAGCCTATGGAGGAGTGATCCAGCTCTCATAATCAAAATACTTAATTTGTGTTCTGAAGATCAACGAAAGTCTTACAGGGTTGGAACAACACGGAGGAGAGGAATTACTGACAGAATTTTCATTTTTGGGTGTAATTAATTACCACATGATATGATTGTAATAAAAAAATAAATAAAAATAAAAAACAATTAACAATGTCGCAAAACATACCTAAAATGCTATTTCTTCCACTTAAACCATATAAATAATCAGGATAAAAATAAAAGATTATTACATGATGAATTAAAGTTTGATTGATTATAATAAGAATCGCGAGAACATTAGATCAGGCATAATTTGTTGCCCCACAACAAAAAATGAAGCACCAGCCGAGTTTGAATGAATCATTTTTCTTTGCATGATAATTGACATTACAGTACAGAATGGCTCATTATCTTGAACATTGTTTACGAAATAGAGGTTCTCGGGAGCGCGCGCTGAGTTTGAATTTTGGCAAAAACGACCCGTGTCTTCTCTACAAGCTCTTGCCAAGAACACATTGGCAAAGAAAAAGCATTATTAATTAAAAGTAATTAAATGCAGCCCCTTTGTGTGACAACTTTGATATTATTAAGTTAAATCTAGGAACGTTTAGTCTAGGTTATGATCGCAAATTCAACAATATTTCTATTTATGAAGTGCACACTACAATACAGAAGGACTTTTAAACACGCACAGCTTGGTGTTTTGTGTGATGTTGGTCATTCATCTCAGCATTAGTCCTCAATCATACTTTATTCTTCTCAACAAGGTTTTAACACTGACATGCAAAAAAAAAAAACTATTAAAAGTTCCAAAAGGTTGGATTTTTTTGCATTGAATGCCATAGAAGAACAATTCTTGGTTCCCAGCAAACCTTTCAGAGATCAGCCCTTAAGAACCATTTTTAATCATCTGAAATAAAAAAACTTAAGTGGAATGCAAAGATTAAAGGTTCTTCAACCATTGATGCCAATAAATAATCGTTATTTTTAAGAGTGTAGAACAGGAAATAAAATAAGAAAAACTGTTAGATTTGAGGGATGCGGCGCGCTTGAGGATCCGTGGGCAGATTTGCTGGCTCCATCTTCCCACAGCGCTCCTCATTGGCTCATTGCTGCTCTCAGGGGTGAACATACACAGAGGAATTACAGTGTGGAGAACCGTCTCAAAGTTTTACAACAGCATCTAGCCAAGATGTACTTGGAATAAAAAAAATATTCCACATTTAACAGCAAATGTTCTTGCTTTGGAAATTAGTTTTCAATTGCAGTCTCTCAAACTCAAAACCAAGTGCTTCAGATTTGCAGTTTGCACTTGACTTCATTGATTCTGCATTAAAAACAGTCATAACATCAAGTCATTTTAGCACTAAAACATTCAAGAGCTGAAAGTAAAACCACACAACATGGAGCATCACACCACAGCCACCATAACCCCACTGAAACACACCAGATCGTTAATAGCTTCATTCAGTCTAAAAGATAACGCATTTATCCAACCCTGCATTATTTTCTCACATTTTTTGCTCATAATGGTGAGAAAGTCAAACTTTCCTGTAGATCTTGCAATGCCAAGGTCATGGGTTCGATTCCCAGGGAAAGCACTTATTGAATGTAAATGTATATAGATGAATGCAATGGATAAAAAACGTCTGCCAAATGCATGTAAATATGAAAAAGGATGAGCCCTTTGTATGTACCATCCATTAGTTTCAGGAGGAAATGCATCAATATAAAGAAAACTTTTCATTTAATAAGATTTATAATTATGTACAGGGTGCAGAAAATATTTCTTTCAGTCACACAATCCGTGTTTGATGGCTTCACTGCAAAAAATAAATAAATAATAAAACAAATTAATCTATAGGCCTAGTAGTCTTTTTTTTTTTCATTTCAAATTTGTAAATATTCTTAAAGTCCCCCTGTAGTCAATAATATTTTTAAAACTCATCTTTGATCACCAAAATCACATTTCCTTGAAAAAAAAAAATTGTCTTCATGCCTTAAAATATCTTGAATGTAATTCGACACCCTCACCTCATTTATTATGTTTGGTTCTATGAATATGTAAATTGGCCCCGCCTCCACTCACTCACCAAGCTCAGAGATCCACTGGTTGGCGATCACACGTTGATCTGATTGGTTACAAGGTGGTTTGTGACGTCAGAAACACCAGCGATTTTGAGACTGTCTTTGATTCACTGCAGTTTTAAGGAGGAAATCCTCAGCAATGCTCCAATAAACATTAATACTGTACATCCCTTTAGCTCTATCTGCTTGGTTTTTTTATTGATTTCCCCAGAAAACAAGACATAATATCATATGGTATTTACTCGTCTAGTAAATGCATGCTGATTTAAGAATATTTAGTTATTTGGACTGGAAACAAGACAAAAATACTACTAAAAATACTGTACAGCCCTTCAGTAAACAACGTCAAAGTCAACCGTCAGTCCAACAGAAAAATGCCTTTTCATGTTTATATTTGTGCTAGGAAAATAACAAGACAGAAACACTCATTCATGCACCTACAAAAACTTATTGTCTTACTTTTTTACTTGTTTACAGTCCAAATATCTAAAAATTCAAGATGCATTAACTAGATGAGTCTTGTTTTGGGGGGAATCCAAATTAAGGTAATCATGGAAATCTGACTTCAAGCGCTATAATCGGTCCCGAGCTTCTAACAACACAGAAAACATGAAAAGTGACAGCAACTCATTTGCATTTAAAGGGACACATAAAACTAGCGTGTTTTCACTCAAAGTTATAATAAATGATCTGTGGAGAATCTGTGTTCACACATTCTGAGATTTATATTACATAAATATGCATAATTTAAGAATTTTGAGTTATTTGGACTGGAAACAAGACAAAAACACTGCAGTCCCACACGTGTCCCTCACTGCGGGCTGCGTCTGCGACGGGTCGGGGCCGCTCTCTGCTGAACCGGTTTGTTGTGTTTCCACTGGCACATGAGGATGGACCTGAAGGTGGTGCGGAAGGTTTTGTTACAGAGCGCGTAACACATGGGGTTAACAGTACTGTTGACGTAGCACAGCCAGTAACCCAGAGCCCACAGCGTCGCAGGAATACACTCGTCACAGAACGCGTTCAGAAGGACCATGATGTTATACGGCGTCCAGGTGATGATGAACGCTAGCAGGATGGCGCTCAGCGTCTGCGCCGCCTTCTTCTCCTTCACCAGAGACACTTTTTTGCGCGCTTTAGCCTTGCAGGGGAAGCGTCGGCCATCTTTATTGACGTTGGCGTTGGGTTGGTCTTTCGGCGGAGTCTGCTTTCTGGACGGCTTGGCGTCCGAGTCCGTCGGCTGGAGGCTTTCGAGCGCGATTGAATAAACGTGACGTGTGTCTTCAACATCTTCGTCTTCGTCATCATCCGATTGGTCGATGGAAACGGCAGTCTCGTTGTTATTCCAGCTGTCGCTGCGATCCGTGTCGGTGCTACCGTGTTTACGGCGAAACCAGAGCCACGAACGACGTTTGGTTTTCCTGGATCGTTTCCGGCTCGACGGATTCGGATCGTAGCTTCGATTCTCCGTTTTTTCCCCTTGGTTTCCCGAAGCCTTTAATCCTGCTAGCTCTTTGGACCGGTTCTCCGTCTCCCGGTAGATTCGCCAGTAAAGGATGGTTATGATGGTGACGGGAAGGTAAAACGCGGCGATAGCCGTGCAGAAAGTCGTGATCGGCTCCGAGAGAAACTGAATGTAGCATTCGCCCGCCGCGACTGTCCGCTCGCCCACGAAATACTGCCAGAAGAGGATCGCCGGCGCCCACAGGATGAACGAAATGGACCAGGCGAGTCCGATCATAGTCATGGCTCGTTTAGTGGTCCGTTTGGCTCGGTAGGTTAGCGGGCGCGTTACGGAAAAGTACCTGTCGAAGCTAATAACCAGAAGGTTCATCACGGATGCGTTACTCGCTACGTAATCCACGGCTAGCCACAGGTCACATGCCCAGTTCCCGAGAGCCCATTGGTTCATGATGATGTACGTGGTGTAGAGGTTCATGGAAAGAACACCGATTATGAGGTCGGCAAACGCCAGGCTTAGCAAGTAATAGTTATTCACCGTTTTCAACTGCTTGTTGACTTTAAACGACACCAGGACTAGGATGTTCCCGATGATCGTGATTAAGGAAAGCGAGCCACACAGGAACACGATCATCACGACCTGCCAGACGGTGTGGCCGCCGAGAGGGTCATAGGTCACGCTAACGTTGTGGCTGTCGGTTAAATTCACCAGGAGCGAATTGTTGAGGATCTGGAGGTCATGTGGTACAAACGCCGTGACGGGATAGGCTCGCATCCCCGGGGAGCCGTTGGTCAGGAATATCCCAGGATTAGCGCTCAGCGTCAGGTTCATGGTGGCATGTTCTGTGGGAGAAG